ACCTGTGTATTTGTTTAATCGGCTGTTTGCTGTATTTTCCAATGGTGGCAGGACCTGCGGATAATACACCAAGCCTATAGGCCCCACTAGCAAAGCCGGTGATTAAAACTATGCTCGCTACCGTAGTTGAACTCATCTAATTTTTTTTTAACTGGAATAATAAATTATAATCCAAGTTAGACCATCAGAAGATATCAAAATATTTACTTTTTTATTCTTATTTTCAAAATTTTCACAGATTGTACTTCCTAACACTTTTAGAATCATTAAATAATTTTTTTTTTCGTATACTCGCTATTTAAACCCATGTATTTGTATATACTAGTTGTTTACGATATTCTCCGATGGTGGCAGCACCAGCGGAGAATGCATGAAGCAGGGGGATGACACTTCTTATGGGAGAACTGGCAATGGTTCAAAACTTAGCTACAAGCCATTTTCTAGGAATCTTTCTTACCGATAAATTATTGACAAGAGTGACAGATAAAACTTTGACGATCTTTCATTAATTGATTTCATCTGTTTTTTGTTCTAAAGCGTGCGTTGAAAGGAGACAAACAATTTTTGGTGACCGATAAATTGTTATTCGAATACCATTTTTCTCCTTGTCGGGTCGTTGACTTGCCGCCATTTTATGTTTTTGTTTACACGCTGCACTTTGCTTTGTATATTTAATACAGTAATTATTCAGGCAAATATAGGTTTTTCATGAAACTCCTCGGAGTAACGTGTTGGTAAGTGCTTATAAATACTGTGTACTATTTTTTTTTTCATCTAACATGCTCATTGTCATTCTCCTGATTTAGGTAACAGAAAAGGATCATCGAATCAAACTGAATTTTATGTTTTTTCATCCCAGGACTGTTAGTAAAATATATATTTTTTTATGGATACCTTCCGAAATATCAACGAGATGACGTATTCCTTGTCAAATTGTCATTATTCCTACCCAAGTAACAAAATAATTGCTTTACGAAACTAAAGTATTTTATAAGTATTTTCTAATGCCGAATTAAGAAGAAATTTATCATTTAAGGAGGTTGACCGCGACATTTGTGTTTTTATAGCAAATCGTTTTTATATTCATATCGTATAATTGTTTATACAACTTGCATTATAAAAATGAAAGTTCTTTTGGCTTGAAATATTGTTTAACCGCTGTGTAGCGCATTATATGACTGCTTTAAAAACTGTTTAAGAAAGTTTTTTAAAAGCTTTATAAAGTTTATATTGTTTATGTATAACATGTTTAATTTCCGCATTAAAAAACAATTTTGTAAAAGTTATATACAAGCTCTATAAAGGCTGCGTAAGGTGATAAATAAAACAGTTTTTTAGGACAAAGACCAAAATGCTTTATGAAATAATTATAAAATTGTTCTATAGTATATCTATAATCTATAAGGGCGTTGAATAAATGGGTTAAAAAGATTTTGTGCACTATAAATACTAAATAAAATATTTTTATAAATGCCGTATAACTGCCCATGTTTGCACTATTATAAAATTCTTAAAGAACTAAAGAGTCACAAATTACTTCAATATAAAATTAATATCTTCTTAACCTCAAAAAAGTTTAACACCATCATAATTATTGATGTTTTGTGAGAAATTCCCAATATGGATTTATTACCATGGAAGAAGATGAAAAGGAGTGGGCATTTCAAAAGGAGCGCAAATAAAAGCCAAATTACCCCTTTTCAATTTGCAGTAGAAAGTGTACCAACTTGGGTCCGGACAAGACGTAGAGTCCCTTTGTAATTAGGTAGCAAATTTTTTGGATCAAAATAATATTCCTTAGCCATTTTCCCAGCTTTCCGACACAATCTTCAACTCTTTTCTGCCTTTCTCGATAGTCTCCACAATTTTAAATATTATTGCTCTCTTTTTGGACAAAATAATAAGACAAATTAATTTACCACTTTTTAACCTGGGAAAGTTGAGTTAGGTTAGAATTTGAATGGCCGTGACTCCTGTCCGTTAAACGGAAGAAGTATTATTCTAGTCCTTCGCCTGTAAAGCGAAAGAGTATTGTAATTGATATTGCGTTCTTTGAATAATATAGGTGGGCATATCTAGTCAATTATAAAAAAGATTAACAAGCAATAAATAAAATCAAATTCGTTTACCGGTTGACAAATAATTATAATTAATAATCAGCATTCCGTTTCACAAAACTACCAACTCCCCTCAAACGAAAGAGGAGTCACACCCCGCTAATATTTTATAAAACAGATAATGCAGCACAAAATAACCGATTAGTCGTAAAGTGCAGCTAGACGGAACTCTATGAAAGCATTCTGTTTCTTAAAGATGTTTACTACTTCCTTACACGATACTATAACCTATGCTAAATTACAAATTATTTACATGAATATTCTTATTGTATAAATCCAATACTAAATTTGACAACCTTTGAAATGAATAGAATCTCTGACTGTCCTTTTTTGGAAAAATAATTTCATAGTGCTTGTAAAAACAACTTTATTAAATATTATCCTATAACGTTTTTAAATGACACATATTTGTTGTATTACTTAACGCCACGTTTATGTGAATTTAAGGGTTTGTCAGTGGCCGCCATTGTTCACGACAAATATAAAAATCCAAATTAGCACAATATTCATGCTTTTTATAAAGATGTAAGGTGCTATATCGGATTTATTGAGTTAAAACATGAGTTCAAAGGCCCTTTAGATCAAAAATTATACCTTTCAAAAATATTTAAATATTTTTATATTTTTATCAGATCGGCTAATTACCGTCGAATCTAAGGCGCTTCTATTTTTTGATAAATACATACATATATATATATATATATATATATATATATATATATATATATATATATATATATATATATATATATATATATATATATATATATATATATATATATATATATATATATATATATATATATATATATATATATATATATATATATATATATATATATTTATCAGAAAAATTTGTTGCGCAAGCAAATTCTGGGCGCTAGATCAACTATCGCAAGTCATAATATACCTACAGTAAGTATAGATAGGCATTTTTCTTATCATCCATTTCGTATGATGGCGACCGACGCTTTAATAATTTCATCTTTTCGGATTATGGTGAACAAGTAGGTGGAAATATTTTTCTACGTTATATATGCTTTATTCGATATTTTTATTGCAAGCAGTGACACAAAAGAACAAACATATCGTATTAAGTTTAAAATAGGCAGCGTTTTATCAATCTTATAAAATAATGTTATGCTTGCGGTATAGGAGCGTCAAGAAATATAAATATAATGATTGTATAGTGCATGTTTGGATAGGTTGTATTAATACCTCGAAAAACATCCTTATAAAATAGTTTTTAACAAAACAGAAACATATTTTATTAGGATGATATAAGGAGGATATAAGTATATGTTAAAGAACTGAAAAATTTTATAATTTGGGCCTTTTTTGGTTGTATAGCTATTCGATTAGAGCTGCAAAGGGTTCGTTATAAGACTTTCGTAGTTCTATAAGATATGCTGTATAGCAGTTTTTAGAGCACTTATAAAACTGATTTTGCTACTTGGGTAGGCTTGTCAACAGTGTCAAATTTAAACGCCAATTTCACTTTCCAATATTTAAAAGGGCTCTGGCACTTCCTCCGTAATATGTGTTTTGTGGATTACGTGGATAAATCAACGCCATAAGTTTAGCATTAAAAAATATGTCTCCAACATCACGACATACCATTTTCAAACCTTCTTTATGCACTTATGAAACATTCAATAGGTTTGTTTTTCTCGCGTACCTACTTTTGCGCATTAAAAGTTGCACGTATTTCCAAAATAATCACAATTTTATACGGTTTAGAAAGTACAAATTATACATTATTATGGAAACCAACTTTTCATTGTTATATTGTTATAATCATATTATGTCATAATCTTATTTCCCATGGTACAAAGAAAAGCTTATTTCCATTGTGTAACGACGCTTGTTTTTCGCGTTTTTTAATTTAAAAATTGTATTAATTACTCATTTATCGACCGCTTTTATATAGCCAACGATGCAAGTGTGTTCAGTGAGAAGTTAAGTTTAAATTTGTGCAATTATATTTCTATGTTTTTTTTTCGTTGGACTTTCTAACTACTGGTAAAAATGTAGTAGACTAGTAAGTGTTTGGTGTGTGGAAGTTCTAATATAAAGGTCCCCGAATTATCTTTTCATAGGCAAGTAAAGTATTCAGTTGTTCTTTTATTTATATTAAACCACATGCATACTTTCTGGTTAGATTTCTTAAGATTATTGATATTCGTACGGAGTGTCTAAATGTATTTTTTGTAAAAGCGTTTCGAAATTGACAGTTTTTAATATTTATTTGAGATTCGAAATGACATTCTTTTAGGCACTAGTATCTAAAAGTGACACTTGTTTAGGCACTAGTGCCTAAAAGTAAAAAATGAAAAGTTAGAAACAATGTTGTAGGTGGTCTCGTATAAGTTTTTCGACTTCTCGGGCACTAACGTGGATAGCGCAGTTTCAGCAGCGTGTTGAATATCCAAAGACTCATCATTATCACTCATTTTTTCACAAAACCTTGTAGGAAATACGGCGACATTTGAACCTGACAGAACTTTGTCATTAAACAATGCCTTAGAAACAGATTACCAGAACTCGACGCATTGTCCAACTCGGATTTAAGCATGGGACCATTTTGCGTCCCAATCTTAATTAAAAAAAATTAAATTAAATTTTTAAAATTAATATTCAAATTTGGCGCGTAGGCGATAGGTCCTCGACAATGTTTGCGAGAGTTTCCATAGTGATTTACTTATCCACGTAAGTATATATGATCTAGGGTTTTGTGGCATGAAGCCTATAGTAGAAATAGACCTTTACCCGGCCGGTCGAACTGGCAGGCAAGAACGTGTGTGCCTATTGGAGGTCATTATACAGCGCGCAATATCAGCACGACGCGATACCGCGACGTGCCGTGGATAGCGGTCGGGCCCCGTTTGAAACGATTCGTTTCTCACAACACGATTTTAGTCGAAGCAGTACACGACTGGGGCAGTGACGCGCCAGCGACGCAGCATAATGACAGCATCCGTTGTCGTGTCAGGAAGTCTCGCTTCGATCGCGTTCGTACAAACGACAAAATAAAAACCTGTTTAACTTGTGCTGATATTTATCGTAATCAATCAAAACAAAATGAAAATAGAAATGAATAACCAGATTCTTATTGGTATGGTGGAAGAACGACCGGTGTTATGGGACAGAACAGATGAAAACTATAAAAATAGACAGAAAACAGCTGAATGTTGGACAGAAATTTGTCGACTTTTAATAGATGGATATGATGAGATGCCAAGGAAATCACAAAGGGCAATAGGTAAATATATTTCATATCAATTAAACTTTTAGTTACGTAATCAAGGACGCGATTTTTAAATTTATTGTTGCCAACCATGGATATATTCGGCGTCGTGGACATATTCTGCTGAACTGGAATTTAAATTTCCTGCTGGGGATTCAGGTGGCGACTGTAAAAAATGTCAAGTTGCCGCATTTATTTATTTAATTCCTGACATTGTCATTCGTTTTGACACTTTAGTATTACGAGTTTTTGGTTTAAATAAATAGTGTTGTGATACTTTAAGCTTGATAATGTTTACCAGCATACCTTGCAGTCGAACATTGCTTTTTTTAGAACCCCGAATTGTACAAGATAGCTTAGAAGCCGTACAAAATTCATCACAACTTTATTAAAATATTTTGAACGGGAAAGCGATAGTAATGGCCCTTTATGTCCCTTAAGTGCTGTTAAGAAGATGAGCTATGTTGATGTAAATAATAACTGTTTATATATTTATAATTAATTTATTTTTGTTTCCTAATATATTTTGACCAAACCAAACCAAATCACCTTGAGTATATTTGCCTTGTACAGCCTCTCAAGTAGTGCCGTTCGGATTCGGCGATAAACTGTAGGTCCCGTGTACTTGTGAAACACTGATGACACACATCGCAGGTACATGCGAGAGGTAGCCGACGCTCTATATAGAGTATGGCACTGTAAGAAGAATATATTTTGATTAAAAGAAAATATATAAAAGTGGGCAACGCTGTGCCGGTCAAGCTTAATCACGTGACTAAACGTTTATTTGGTATGAACTGTAGATACGATGTAGTGCGAGAAAGACTTAGGTTTTAGCGAGATTAGGGTTGATAATTGTCCATATAATCCTGTTGACAGCCGCCCTGAATAAATGTACGGTCGTCATTCCCGTCCACTGTCTAATATTTTTCAGCCATGATGTTCGTCGCCACCCCTGACCTCTTCTATTATCTATTTTTCCCTGCAAGATTGGACAGGTTGATATTTCTCATTACTCATCGCATGCCCAAGGTGTGCCATTTTCCTTACCATAGTTATTTTGACAAGACATGATAAGTTTATGAAATCCTGAGCATGCGGCGATAGCACCATATTTCAAAGGGTTCTAAGCATTTAGATGTAGCATCTGTCAAGGTCCAAAAGTAAAGTCCATATATGAACATGGAGAATCCATAGCACCTTAGGACTTTCTTTGTTCTAATAGCAATATTCAGGTGCATGTTGCGTAGGGTCTTCCTAAGGCGGTTAAAAACGGTTCTGGATTTTCTATGCGGCATCTAATCTCTTATGAGTGATCCATTCCTTGTTCTTGTTTGCTTTTTTACCCAGGTTAAATTAAGGATTCGAATTATTGTATGTCGATATTCGCGTATAGTATATTATGCACAGAAGGGACTACTAAACTTTTCAAAATTCAATTTTTAAATGACGTTTTATAATTACAAAATAGTGGCACTTAGTTAATAACATCTATGAATATAAATAACAATAGTTTCTTGACAAATTCATAATTTGGTTTGATATAAAGAGACATTTATTAAACATACAAAATTACTCAATGGCAAGCTTGTCTAACGAGTCAGGGAAGACTTCGACAGACAGCATTCAACGTTCTTTTGTTGGACAGACAATACTATTTTAGTAGGTAACAATTAGAATTAAGATACTAGAAATAAATTTGCTCTCAGTCAGACTAAAATAAAACTAATTAGTAAATTATTATTATTTTTTTAGTTATATTGAAATTGTCGTATTTTTATTTTAAGAATTGATATTAGATTCTGACTTCTGATAATAATTAATTAAAATATAGGTTAATTTAAAAAACAAATATAATATTTAACGCTTTGACAGATACATTTCTTTAGTCGTTATATTCAGAAATATAGGCACTACAATTCATACCAAATAAACGTTTAGTCACGTGATTAAGCCTGACCAGCACAGCGTTGCCCACTTGTGTATATTTTCTTTTAATCAAAATATTTTAGGAAAAAAAATTAATTATAAATATACTCAAGTAGCATTTTCACGACTTGCGACCACATGTTTACTAAACACAACGTTGGATTAGTTACAAAAAATAGTTAGAAGCCTACCTTGGGTATTAAAATAAATGTAAACGTTATTGTAACGTTGTGCCGACGTTGAACTAGTACCAAACCAAACCAAACAAAGTAAAAGCTTCTGCCACGTCGAATAAACGTTGTCTTGTAACCTTGTTTGCTTAAGTGATCTTTAGGCGATTCGGACAACGTAGTTACAATGTTGGGCAATAAAGAGTTTACCGACGTCAGTTTCAGGACCTATTCCAACGTTATGCAAACGTCGTCTGTTTTACTAATTCCAACGTTGCGTTGTTTAAATTCCTTATTCTTACGTTGGTAGGACGTCGAGCCACTACCTTTTTGCAACTGTACTGAACCATAACCTTAAATCTTAAATTCTCACTTCATTGTTCTGTTCAGTCAGACAGTTCAGTGCTGTTTTTGTTTTTATAAGAAAAACTTAATTAAAATGGGACGTAAGAAAGGCACATATAAAACTAAATTTAAATATACATCGACATATTACCGATACTTTATCCACTCCCTCGTTTATTTAGAATACGTATAGGGGGCGGCACAAGCTAGACTCTAGGATGACTAAATTAGGCAATCTTGCGACTAGTATACTACCTTTTAAGGCTGAACTGCGACTTTATTAGTCCAGTATGCGACTACTCGAACTACTCCATCTTAATCTCCAAAACAACAAAGTGAAAGCCGCCATGTTGTTGAATAAGAAAATGTTTCGTTCCTAAAATAGCAATTCCTGCTTTTTGAATACATTAACTTGAATATTTGACCCTAAACAACACGCGGAAACAATTTTTTTTTGACTGCGAATAAATTATTCTCATTTTACTAAAAAAAATCAAGAAACTTTTTAAAACTTCTTTAATTTTAAGGCCCATTAATATTTTTCAAAGTAGAAACAATACATTTATCAATAAAGTTGTTTGCGTTTAACTTATTTGTCTTGGGTAACGAGTTACAGAGTTGGTTAAAGTGTTTCAATAATTATGATCTTCAAACATCCTCTACACTTAAATACTTTTGTTTTGTTTTCCTTTACTGCCATCTGGCGTATGTCTCTAACTAAATCATAAAACTAATATTTTTACTATAATTATCCCAATTTAGGATAAAACGCGACTTAGACGCCATATTATTATAGTTTTGTATTTCTGTAAATTAGGATTTTAAACAACGTTGCAGTTTGTACTAAATTAGGCTGCTAGCCAACATAGGTATCCAACGTCGTTTCGACCCAAAAATTATTCTCCAAACTAGTGCAGACTAGGGTTGGCACGAGGTTGTGCCGACGTTGCGCCCCAACGTTTGGTCGCGTGACACAACGTTGTCCCGACGTCCAAATGCTGCTTGGATATATAAACAGTTATTATTTAAATCAACAAAACTCGCCTTTTTAACAGCACTTAAGGGACCTAAAGGGCCATTGCCGCTTTCTCGTTCAAAATATTCTAATAAAGTTGCGATGAGTTTTTTCCACCTATTAAAATATCTTGTATATTTCGCACCAAAAGAGGTTCATAAAAGAACAATATTGGACTGCAAGATTTGCTAGTAAACATTTTTAAGCTTAAAGTATCACAACACTTTATTTAAAATAGAAACTCATAATAAAAAACTAAAGTATCAAAACGAACGACGATGTCAGGAAATAAATAATTAAATGCGGCAATTTGACATTTTTTATAGCAGAGCTGCCACCTGAATCTCCAGCGGGAAATTTAAATTCCATTTTCCAGACAGCACGGCGCCGAATATGTTCATGGTTGGCTTTTGTTTTATTTGATATGAACCATTATTCGTTAGTTTATTTGATATGAACCATATATTATTTTAATGAGTGGATATTCCTGAGTACATATTCCATGAATTTTATATGAAAAAAGTAATCTGGGTAATATTATTTCAAATAAGTTTTATTTTTAGATAAGGAGGTTTTAAAAAAATGGACAAATATAAAGGACGGTTTCTCCAGATGGCATAGAAAGTGTAACGAGCTAATTCGTTTGGGTTCAAATAAAACTATAAAGAAATATGTATATTATGATCATATATCATTTTTGTTAAAAAATATGGTTTCAAATCAGGACGAACTGACTTTCGAGGACAATGATCCACTGCAAGTAGAAGAAGGTACTCTTAGCGATGTACCAACGAAAAGGTTAAAACTTGAAACTAGTACATTCGAAATAAAACCGAGCCCAACCAGGTTAGAAAGTGAGCTCAGTAATACATTCGAAGCATCTCCAAGTCCGTCGTATCAAAGTTCTACGAATCGCCACATGGCATTTTTTTCTAGTGTACTACCTTCTATAGAAAATTTCGATGACGACCAATTCTGTGATTTCCAAATTGGAGTACTGCAACTCATACGGTCTTTAAAACGAAGAGAGAATCCAAAAGATTAGAAGTATATTTATTATCTATATCCTTTAAGACAAACTTGTACAATAATTTTACCTACATTTTAGCACCACTGTTATTTTCGATAAAAAAATAAATGTTTAACAATAAATATATATCACCACAGAAATTTGTATTTTTATTATACAGGGTGTCTAAAAGCATCTGCCCAAAAGAAACAGATTTTCTCTTTACCAGTTTTTAAAATAAATTGATAATAATTGAGTTATTTAACTTTAAAGAAAATTTTAAAAAATAATGACAACATTTTGAGAGCCGCCACCAGATATCGATAATCAGGTCGAAATACTAAGCATTTACCCGGATCTTAGCTTCTTCGACACATCAACCAGATAGATTTAAAAAATTAATTGGAACATTCAGATTAAAAGTCAAAAACTTACCTACCTAACATTAGAAAATAGACTCCGATAGATATCAGATCGATGTAATTAGGTTAGAGCATCACTTTACCCCGAAAGGCAACAAGCATTTAACAACACTTTATTTCACTGCGATTCTTGACAGAGCTACACTTAATACCGACGTATATTCAACACAAAATACATTAATATGCCATCTGAATTATTAGGATTAATTTTGAGAATGTAAACTCCCCTGTTTTTCTATCTCATGCTCTTGTTTTTGTGTATAAACACCAAAATAATTGATATTTCTATTTAAATAATAAAAGTATTTTAAAGGCTTTCTTACATTTGCCTATCTTTTTAGTTTTGTCAGAGGTTTACTGTTTTGAGTAAAATCGCAAATGAATTTGATAACCTAAAATTCATCAGCCATACAGTTCCGCTGATTTACATCAGCTGCTCTGTTTAAATGTAGGTCAAATGTTGACTATTTCTATCTGCCATAGATGACGCTGATTCAAAAAATACGAAAAGGTGAAAAACTGTTTGATTTATTGTATCATTGGACTCTCTTGACCATCGGTGGCAGAAGACTGTGCGTCCTGCAGTCAATTACTGAGAACCGCACTTTTATATGGTAGACCCACTACTGTCTTTCTGCCTTGAATATTGGCGAATGTTCTACTATGAACCTTTTCGCCTGTCCTTGTAGGTACACTTTTTTGCTCTGCTAAATTTCTCCACCATTCAAGAGATTTGTTGGCTACCATCGTTTTGTGGTTATTCTCGTGGCTGCTTTTGCAACGCCGCAGAAGAGTTCTGGACCTATGAATAGTATTGGTGAGCCTTATTTGGCCACATTCCGTTTTACTTTTCATTACCCTTGTGACTCCTGTACACAGGCTAACGTAACATTGCTACGCTCACCCAAAGTATTTAGAGCACATACACAATCCTACACTAGTATAGAATTGACCTCCGTGGAACTGAGTGCCTTTAGCGCTGCTTGGTTCTCTTTGAAGATGGCCACCGTACGATGTGTTCTTTGCTGCCTTATTATTTCTTCTATAATAGTGGATTGCCGTTTATTCCACTTGGAAAATTGTGCCTTCCTTAGATAGGCTTATGTAGAAAACTATTCCTTGTTTCAGCCCTACTATTCCAGCTCTTATGCTTTTCGACGTTTTTGAGATGATATACCAACTGTATACCAAGTTGCCTCAGCTTGAATGGGTACACTTTTTATCCAGCCCTTTCTGGTATAGTTATATTAAATATGTTCTTAAAGCTACACCTTGTAGTTGTTGTATCTAGCGGTAATACCAACACCTTGTCTACCTTTGCTCTTCGATTAGCTTCTGGTTTTCAGGCTTTTATGGCCCCATTACACACAGGCAAGCAAGCATTTGTGTGGAACATTATAACATCCTTATTGCGCCCACTTGCAATGACTTCGTCTAATAATAATGGTGGTAATATGGTGGACCCCAACCTGTAGGTTATCATGGTTCTTATACCCCTTGTGTTTAACCATTGTTTAACCATAGAGATAGAGCCATTTTCGTGTTAAGTCACCAGTTTTTCCCACACATCTTGCTGTACCTACCTAAAGAGATGACAGCTTTCTGGGTTGTCTACGCTATGTGCGCTTTTAATCAAAATACCCTAAAATACTTTGTTTCTTTGGCAAATGAAATCTCTGTTTCTCCCAGCAACGGTAGTTTCAGGCCTTTTGGTGCTATCATTTTTGTAAAGTTGACAATAATTTGTTTTTTCCGAGACTCTCTGGCTTACATTTACTTGTGTATTTTGTTTACTACTTTGGCTCTTTTAATCAAAAATACCGTAATACCTAAAACCTTTTTAAATACCCTAAAACCCTTGCATTCTTCATGATATAATCCCAGCAAACATACTCCTGAACACAATTACAATGTTGTCTGCATATTCTAGACCTCTTAGATGTACGCTGGCAACCAGGTTTTTTTTTTATCAAACTTTACCCTCACAGTATAAAATGGTTGAGCTATCCTGTAAAAATGGATATCTTAATATTGCTACGAGAACATATACGATCTAAAATAGATCACAAATATTAATTTACTTTCTAATAATCCTTTATTTAAACAAGTAATATTACGATGTTTAGTACCTACCTTTGAAAAGATCGTCCTTAATGTATTATAAGGTGTCCAATTGTATTAAATAAGTGCTCTCTCGGAGCTAGCTAAACGGTAACATTGAAAGCGCAAACAAAATATAAGGAACATAAACAATTTAAAAAGGAAGAACCGCTTAGCACTAATCACGATATTGTTTACTTGTGATATGGGATATCCTTTAAAATTAGTTAAATAAACATTTTCAAAATATTTGTTCGTAAAAAATGCATAAGGATTTGCGATGGAAACAGAAAAAGTTAATAAGTTTTTGTCAAAACGGTACAATGCTTTTTAAAAAAATGTCTGGGGGCTACAAAATAAAAAAGTTATTTTATTCCCTCCTTAGTAAAGTTTACTCTATTAATAATAAAATAGCCTAAATAACCATCATTCTACAGCAACAATTTTCGGTGATTTTTCTAAGGCGTTCGACTGTCATCTAAATCATAAGATCCTAATTAATAAACTGCAGCACTATGGGTTTAGGGGAACATCTCTCGAATGGTTTAAGTCGTATCTGAGCAACAGAAGTCAACTTGTGAGGGTGGATATCACGTTATCTTCTAGCAAGCCAATAGAATGTGGAGTACCCAGGGGCGGATCGTGAATTTGTGGGGCCCTGGGCTGAAACTACTTAGGTGCCTACCTAAGTACTCAACTAATAGCCATGTCAAAAAACATTGTAGTGATCCGCCATATTGGCAGCGTTGTCATAAGATTTCCCCCTAAAATTACTCAGTAGTAATTCCTTTGTTTCTACAAAGTCTTGTAGAATATTAAATAAATGTAAGGCAGTATGACTACTAATTTTAATGAAGGCTACACATCTTCATTTTTCCCCGAAAACAGTATCGTAATACAATAGCAAGTTGGTCATTGTGAGACAGATCTGGTGTAGAATCCATCACAGTTGAATAATATTTTGTGTCTTTGTGTGTTTTTGATAAGTACGATACTCGGTACGATATTATCGGTTTTGGTCGCAGCTCCCGTTGTTCAATGTGTTCACGAATGAATGGATCGAACTCTGCCAATAGCTCCAGACCCCCCATAAAATTACCATTAAATGGAGAACCAAATACTTCCTCGGAACCTCTAAATTCTAAGCCTCTTATACTCAAAAATTTTACCACTACAATTACCCGTTTCAGGACATTGTGATAATATTCTGTTTCTTTTCTTAATTACTCCTGAAGCTGCTTGTCTAAAACAGACTTATTTTCTTTTCGTGTCAACCACACTAACATTGATTTCTTATGTTCATTAGAATTTTCGTGGGTTTCTAAACAAGTTTCTATGTGTTTCCAATCAGAAATTCCGGTCGTGTATTGAGAAGAGGTTTTAAAAAAGTTTGCAAGGCAAACAAAAACAGCACCAACACTGGTTAATATATTAGCCAAGATATTTCCAGTGATTGGCCATTTTTAATTTTTTTAGTGAAATGTATATTTGAAAATGCTCTGTTTTGTTCCTTGTATTTCTTTGTAGAAGCTGAATATGTATTTTTTGATTTTTTATTTTGAAAGTCAGTCATTTCATGTGAGAGGATGTCATTAATAAAATTATTTAGCAATTCTGGCCACAAGCCCACGTCAACATATTTCTCAAACTCAAAATCAGTATTGTCTAAATTTCTTTCCGTCTCGGTGTTACCATCCTGTCGCTGAACACCAATATAGTTTGCCGTTTGATCAGAGGATTGGTGGTAGTCAAGACTTTGCACATTTTCATCATTTGTCTTTTTCTTGGTGTTGCGATTTGCTACTCCCTTCAAATAGATTCTCTTCAGATAAGATCCTCTCTTGTCGCTTGTTGATGAATTTTCAGCGATTGCGTCGTTCGTTTTTATGTTTTGTTTGGAAAAAAGTCCCAATTTTTGCACATTTTTTTCTTTCTTTTTTTCGATCTAGCTGTAATTTGCGTTTCTCAGCTCCACTTTTATACTTTTGACCAGACATTATTGTAAATTAAAACTTTGATTTTTTTCTGAAAATAAACAATGAACTTGATAGTTTTCCGATAAATAAACAGTGAACGAGATAATCGTTGCATTTGAATACGTGAATACTTTGTAATGAGTGCAGTAATTAAAAATTATGGTAGTTTTTTTTTAATTTTAGATTTTTTTAAATTCATATTATCGCCTATTGTTCTTAGCGGGGTCTGGGGGCCCCTTGTAACCTCGGGGCCCTGGGCTGCAGCCCAAACAGCCCTTAGGTAGATCCGGCCCTGGGAGTACCTCAAGGCTCAGTACTAGGCCCTATTTTGTCTCTTCTTTTTATTAACGACATTGCTAACATAAACATCAATGATAAAATATGTCTTTTTGCAGACGCCACTAGCTTCACTTGGAACAACAAGGACGTCACGGCACTCCATAGGATTATATAAAATGACTTAATCATCATTAAATTTTGGTGCGATTCGAACCTCCTGAGTCTCAACATTTCAAAAACTAAAGCTTTGTCGTATAAAAACTCGCTGCAGCCTTTTGTACTTAACAACACCACCATTAACGTCGTAAAATCTGTAAAATTTTTAGGGCTTGTTGTAGACAATTCTCTAAAATGAGACATGCATATCGAC